CCTCCTCCTCCTCCTCCTCCTTCTTCTTCTTCTTCTTCTTCTTCTTCTATCTCTGTCTCCATCTTCTTCTTCCTCCTCTTCCTCCCCCCCCACTCCTTCTTCTCTGGTGCTTTCTCTTAAAATTGCACTATGTCTGCACCCTAAATGAATCCTCATCTCATTGTTCTGCAATTCACTCCTTGGATTTGAATGTGAACCATTTCTGTTTCGATTCCTTTGATGTCAGGAACTCTCTCGGGTGTCAGTTACCTCTGTTCTTACCAACTAAGATGCTGCATCAAAGAAGAGTTATTTTGGAGGTGAAATGGTGTATGGGGTGCTTTTGACAGAAAAAGTTGCTCACCAAATATCTTCCACCTGAGGAATAATGTCCAGGATTGGCAGTATCTTGAAAACTTTTATACCTTCCTTTAGCTTCAGGCAGAGAAAATAATTTCTTATAGAATGAGCAAAATTGGAAGATAAACAGTGTTCTGGAGATACACATCATTACTTTTGCTGTCAGTCCTCACTTAATGACACATATTCCCCCAAACCCACTTATTTTTGGTTGCTCTCTCTCCCTCACTGTAGTAAGTCCAATCCGATTTTATTAGTTGAGATTAAAACTGTGTTTTCAGCCAAGTCTTTAGCCATTAAGTCTCTCTGTTTAAATATGGTAATTGTTTGGCCTGTAAGTTTTGAAATCTGTACCTGGAGTTTTATAGAAAATTATTCTATAGAATACAGAAACTTATGTATTTTCTACATGTGATGACATTTCTATGTTGATAAGCCCTGTCCTTTGCTTCAGTAATTTTGTGCAAATGACAAGGATATTAAAATTGGAAGAAGCTTTACTTATGAAAAAAGAATCAATAAAGACATTCTAGAAAACAAAGGGGAAAATAAACTAAAGTATGCCCTCTTCAGGGCCATTTTCCTTTCTCCTAGTCACATTATTGCAAAGTGTAGAGAGATTTGTTTTCATGTTCTCCGTTCATATGAATTGTTACCTACGATTGCACTTTGGCTCCAGAGTTTCTTCATAGCATTTTGCACCTCTGTGTTTCTGAGGGTGTAGATTAAAGGGTTCAGCATTGGGGTTACCACAGTATAAGACACAGCCACCGCTTTATCGATGGGGAAGGTTTTCATGGGCCGAAGGTACACGAATACACAGGGTACAAAGAATAGGACGATTTCGGTGATGTGGGAGGCGCAGGTAGAGAGCGCCTTCCACTGTTCCTCAGTACCTTGAGTCTTCAGGGAGCAGAGGATGAGGACATAGGAGGTGATGAGGACATCAAAAATGAGCACACACATCAGCCCACTGTTGGCAGCAACAAAGTGTCCGAAGATGTGGGTGTCAGCACAGGAGAGTTTTAGGAGGGGGAAGAGGTCACAGATGAAATGGTCAATGACATTTGGGCCACAGAATGGCAACCAGAGCATGAAAAGCATTTGGATGAGAGCATGAAGCAACCCCCGGCCCAGGCTGTGGACACCAGGAGGCTGCAAGTTTGCTTGTTCATAGTGATCATGTAGTGCAGGGGCCCGCAGATGGCCACATAGCGGTCATAGGCCATCACTGTGAGCAGGATGATCTCAGCACCGCCAAAGAAATGTTCTGCAAAGAGCTGAGTCGTGCACCCACTGAAGGAGATGGTTTTCTTTTCAGCCAGTAGGTCAAATATCATTTTGGGGGCCATGGTAGAAGAGCAGCAGCCATCAATGAAAGACAAGAAGGACAGAAAGAAATACATGGGGGAGCCCGGGGCCGGGCTGCTGGTGATGGTTACAACAATGAATGAGTTGCCTGCCAGGGTGAGGCAGTAGATGATCACAAAGGTGACAAAGAAGAGTTTCTGCACCTCTGGGTTCTGTGTGAGGCCGAGCAGGATGAGTTCCGTCACATTGTTCACTTGCTGCATGGCAAATGGATAAATGATTTATCTGTGAATTAAAGAAGTTATAAAATTGTAGTGGATATGTTTCAAACAAGCATAACTTCTACCAGGGTTTTCTACAACCCTCATGAAATACCAAGGAGAAAACTTGACCTACAGGTTGGGCCCCATCACTAGGCATATAACGAACACACCCATTTCTCTCTCTCTGTCACATACAATCCCTCATCCGAAGCACGGGTTTATGATATGGACTTGTCAGAGACCTTTCCTTCAATGATGTGGATAGATATCTCCTGGTAGAGTATATTTTTCTATAGAGAAATCAGGAATAAACAGAAGAAGGTGTGAATCTGCGGTGGTCTATACCCTATCTGTCTTCTTCAGTCATTAGTACCAATGAGGCTACAGGGCAGAGTTTGTTTTGCTTATTGTTTTGATCTCGTTTCCAGGTGAATTAGCAGAAGTCAGTTTGCAGTTGAGGGTGATGCAGTCACATCCCAGTAAGAAGACAAGTGGATGCTTGAGGATGCAGGAAGATGTATCCTGACAGTTAAGATCGTGAGCTCATGCTATACCCTACGCACACAGGAATATACGTCGTCAAGATTGTACTCAGACGTGCACGAGAGAAGTGTGTCCTGGAGAGGATCACACAGACCATGTGACACCAGGCAACACCCCAACGTGTGTTGGAAAGCATTTCATTCATTGTTTGGAGAACTTCAGCCAGATTTAGTTTCCAGGAGCATTTTGCAAATCAAAACCTAGTTTAAAGAAGATGATGAATACTTCCCCGTATTTGTTACAGAGCAGTATTTTTTAAGGTGAAGAAATAGAACCACTACGATTTATTGAACAGAGTGTGTTCTTTAGAGGCACATGGGCAGGAGCCGGGGATTTAGCTCAGTGGTGCAGCTGCTTGTCTCACAAGTGCAAGGTCCTGAGTTCGATCCCTGGTACAAAACAAAAATTAAAAAAAAAAAAAGATGAATAGAGGCACATGGGCAATTTGTGCAATTGATTTTTACCGCTTTTTAGCCACATGGTGTTCACGCAGATCTTGGTCTTACTGCTCCTAAATGTTTTTCCATATAAAATGGAAAAAATAATAACAGAGGAAATAAGGAATATCATTATTATGTGTATCAAAGTTGGAATCCTAAAGCCAAGACTACTCCAGGTTCTGGTAAAGGCATAAAGATATCATTATTCTTATCCTTGAAATATTTAATTGTTTTAATATTAAGACAGAGAAGAAATGGATTAGTACTCAACTACAGAGGTGAAAAACCAATTATATTCAGAAAAAAGTTGAATACAAACATAGAGGCATTAGGCAATAGAAGATTAGACTCGACAAATTCAAAAGATTCTTGACATTTAAAAATATAAATAAAATTGGTGAATATAGATAAAAAGATATTTTTCAAGGATATTTAAAATAATGTGTATATTTCATAAAATATTTTCAAGAATGAGATAAGCATTTATCAAAGCTAATAAAAAGTACATATGAAATATTTCAAATACAGCATGGATCTTTTCAAAAATTGAAATAAAGTATCTGATTTTTGGGTAGGGATGGACACTAAGTGAAAACATAGTAATGTAAGAAACAGGACACAAATGATAGTTTGGACTGCATAAAAATCTGGGACAATCTTGAAAATGTTTACAACAGCTACAACTGCTACAGTTTGGAACAAATTTAAGTGTTGACACTATCATAAAAATAGGGCAAATTAATAAAAATAATTCTCAAAAGTGACATTGTACATCTAAAAATCCTCTCTTTCTTAAATCATGAAATAAATACAAACTGAAACCAGTGAAGTGCTTTTAACTCAGCATTTTACAAAGCTCAACGACAACGTTGCAGTCCAGTGCTGGTGAATACGTGTTGGAAGGAGTTATTCAGAAACCTGACCTTGTACGACAAGGTTTTGTAACTGGTCATGACCCTGGTCCACTACTGCTAAGTTGTAGAAATCTGTTCTACTTTAATATAGGCACATCATGCAGGCAGGTCATATGTCCGCAGGAATATTCATGATAAGTCATGATAAAATCAATTCCAATGACTATTTAATAAAAGAACTGTTAAGTGAATTGCACAGTTGTGCAACATCAACTAGAGATCAACATTGGTTGAGAGAAAAACAATGAGGCGAAAGGATTCTTTCGATATAACATGAGTGGAAAATATGAAAAATAGAAAATACAAATGTAAATTGTCTGAAATGCTCTGTAGCCATAGGAAGTAACTAAGAAAAGAACACGAAAGACCCCCAAGCTCGCCTTGTCATTGGGTCTGGATCCTCAGTACCCCGAGGCTGAGCATTCTGCTCATTATTCATAAACACCTGTGACGGTCGGAACACACTAGGAATCGAGCACACCTGTCAACCAAGGACCCTCGCAGGCCTTGAGAAATGAGAGGGGAAGGAAGGCAAAGAGGTGTGGGTAGTGGAGGGGTGGACAGGCTCGAGTATGCCATGTGTTGTACTATCAGGCCCAGACGAAAGCTGCTTCCTGTGTGATGAATATGCATGGCGTTGTGCCCACCTCTCCGGATGCGTTTGGCAGCAGCAGGACCATTCCACAGCCAGTCACCGTACGCGGCCCACAGGGAGCCCGTGATCCTGGACCGTCACTAGCTGAGCTGCTGCTCTTCATGGTATCCGGTTGTAGCTTAAGCCTAATATTTCTTTGCCCATTTAGTGAGCTGAAAGTGATTGTGGACAGAGATTACCCAAACAATCTGACTTTATGAGCTGGCTTTACTTTGCCCTCTAGATCACACAGTTCTCCAAGGGTGTGGCACAAGCACCCCAGCTCAGAAAATAAAATTTTAAAAAGACAACCTCAAAACGTTAGGTTTCAAAACAAATGCATGGAGAAAAAAAAAATGCACTGACAACTAGAGGGCAGCTCTCTCCAGGTGTCTTACTACACTTTTTTTTTTTTTTTTTTTTTTTTTTTTTTTTTTTTTTTTTTTTTTTTTTTTTGCCAGATGAAATGATCAGATGAAGTATTTTCCAAAAACCATTCTTAGCTGAGACCTAGCCTGATTCAAAATCTCCCAAAAGGCCAACTACCTGAAAGCAGGAAAGTTATGGACCAGGAAGTCCATAAAATCTGTAAGAAATGAAAGTTGCCTTCGAGTAGCAGGTGTTTGAATTCAGAGATTTTTCATCCCTTTTCTAAGAACATGGGCTCAGCTGGAAGATAACTGTCATTCCTAGAAGTCTGGATCCAAATAGGTTGACATTCAGTACCTGAGAGCATCAGCAACCTGTGGCTGGTTATGCTGATGGCCAGAAATTTCGAGTCTGTCCTTATAAACATTCACACATGTGCTTTCAGGGAAATACTCAGTGGATGTTATGCAAATGCAGAATAGGGGTGCTCTGAGTCCTCAGTTCCCCTGGGGATTACAATGAGCGGCCCTTGCCAAAACGGTGACCAAATCAATTTCACCTGCTTTCTCTCTTGGGATCATGATATCAGCTCCATGCTGGCTTCCCCCATGTACTTCTTCGTGGCCAATCTCTCCTTCATCGACACCTGCTATTCTTCCTCTCTGGCCCCTAAGCTCATTGCTGACTGCTTGTATGAAGGCACAGCCCTCTCCTACAAGAGCTGCATGGCTCAGCTCTTTGGAGCCCAGTTTTTGGGAGGCGCTGAGATCATCCTGCTGACGGTGATGGCCTACGACCGCTACGTGGCCATCTGCAAGCCCCTGCACTACATGGCCGCCATGACCAGGACCCTCTGTGCCGTGCTGGTAGCCCTGGCTTGGCTGGGGGGCTTCCTGCACTCGTTGGTTCAGCTCCTCCTGGTCCTTTGCTTGCCCTTCTGTGGGCCCAACGTGATCGACCACTTCGTCTGTGACTTGTACCCTCTGCTGGAGCTGGCCTGCGCCGACACCTACGTCACGGGCCTGCTGGTGGCCGCCAACAGCGGGGTGATCTGCCTGCTGAGCCTCCTCCTGCTGGCTGCCTCCTACATTGCCATCCTGTGCTCCTTGAGGTCCCGCAGTGCGGAGGGGAGACGCAAAGCCCTGTCCACCTGTGGGGCCCACTTCACAGTGGTGGCCTTGTTCTTCGTGCCCTGTGTATTTATTTACATGCAACCTTCGTCTACTTTCTTTTTTTTCATTGAGTTTATTGATACTTTTAAAGTACATAGTACACTTACATTCATCTTAGGGATCTTGTACCTTTACATGACAGGAATTGGTTCTCATTTTTTTCCCCTTGTCCCTGGCCTCCCTTCATCCCTTCCACCCTTCCCTGTTTACAAAGACATTGTTTCCAAGTTTTTCCTTTACACATATTTTTCCTTTTTCCTTATTTCCTTTCCCCTACCCTTCCCACTTTCCCTACAACTTTTGCCCTTTTCTTCCTATTTCACATTATCAGTTATACAATTTGAATCTTATGTACACTTTTAGTTTTTCACACCAGAGAAACTATTCAGTATTTACACATGTGTGTCTTACTTATTTCACTTGAGTATATCCTCAATATACATCCATTTTCCTATGAATGACTTTAGTTTCTCACTCTTTATGGCTGAGTAGTACTCCATTTCATAGAAAAGCACATCTTTATCCAGTCTCCAACTGATGGGCAAACGGGTTGTTTCCAAGTTTTAGCTGTTACAGACTGTGCCGCTATAAACATGGGTGTGCATATATCACTGTGGTATGATTCTTTTAATTCTTTTGGAAAGATACCCCGCAGAGGGATGGCTGGGTCAAATGGAACCTCTGATCCCAGCTCAATTGATTCCCTTTCCTATTCAGAAAAACTACAGTTTTGTCAATTTATATAAAATAAAATAGAGAATTGTGAAAAGAAATTCACTCCTCCAGAACACAAATGAGTGCTTAGGGAAAGCTTAATAAATATTAACCATCGACATCATCATCATCATCTTCATCTTTATCGTCGCCATCATCACTTTATCATCAATACCAGCATTCTTAACTTTTCATTATTTTAATTCTATTTCACTTGGAAGCTAGACCCTTGAATGATGGTTTTAATTTTTAAGAACTGTCCATTTCCTGTGCTTTACAAGGTGGGCATTTGCAGGGAATCACGGCATAGCATCGGTCCTTTCATTGTGGACATTGCATGTGAGATCCAGCCCTGCATCAGGTCTGGGACTCAGGAAACCTGAGGCACAGGTGATGCTGGAATCCCTGGGTAGGACATGTGTCTGAGCTCACCCACAGAGACCACAAGCTCTGTGCACAGGGCGTCTTTTGGTCCTGGCACTTCTGTCTTCTTTGTCCTTTTCCAGGGCATCGGATGGTGGAGGATCCACCATTTTTGAGAGCTTTTCAACTGTGCTGCTCTGGCTTCTTAGTCTTTCATGCCGTGCGGGACTACAGGGGTATTTATGTGTGTTTTACTCCCCTATTAAGCATCCTTATTGAGATGCTAAGCCACGGTTATGCTGCCCTACTCCTAAATGAATGGTACTTACCATGTATTTTGAAGTGGGACAGAGGTCTCATCCCCCTTGATCATGGCTACTGAAGGATACTAGCAGTGTCCTTTGACTCCTCTGTTAGGACCTGCAGCCCCTGGTGTCCTTCATGCCCTGGTGACATCCCTGTAGCTGTTCATGATTTTTCTATTGACCCCTGCTTTCAGTTTAAATAATTGAACCCTATTTAAGGAAGTACATAATGTTGTGGCCTTTCATGACGAGGGATCAGGGAGAGAAGTGAAGCAACTGGTTTGCATTTATAATGACAGGAGTGCCAGAAATTAGACAGGAAGGGGGCTCTAACTTATGCTTACAGTGTGTGCCATTTCCTGTAATTGCTGTGCTCTTGTCAGAGCCTTCTGTTCCTCTGTCCATGTGTCAAATGTAGCTTTACTGTTTGGATAATTTCACTCTTCAGTCCACAGGGCACAGTGATTGTATTTTTTTGTTGTTGCTCCAGCTAATTCTTCTCCCAATTCCTTTTGTAAATAATTGTACAGCAGGAGTGGTATAGATGCCACTGTAAGAGTGTTTGCAAAAGGACTCCTTTTGTGTGATTGTAAGTAAAAAATTCACAACAGGTGAACATTTGCAAACTTGTCACACTAGGAAGATAAAACATATTTTGATGAACATACTTCTTGAAGATTTTTCCTACTGCTTCACATTTCTTCCCTATCTAGTTGTCTTTCGTCTTTTAAAACACAACTTCATTCTGGCTGCAGGGCTGATCATGAAAGGAGCTGGAATATTCTGCTGGCCTCTTTCATACCCACAAATAGGGCAGGCAGCAATGGTACTGCAGTAGCTCTTGGTACTTCTGACCTTATGGGGCCTTTCCTCATTATAATAATAATAATAATAATAATAATAATAATAATAATAATAATAATAATAGTAATTATGTTTTACGAGTACCCTGGTATAAAGATGAATACAATACAAGTTGAATTTAGATTACATTTATTTTTTTTCTTCTCATTTTGAAGAAGTTAAGCATTACAGGGGTGCCCCTAATATGATGAGATCTTGGCCCTATTTCTCCTGTGTCTCAGTGTCCGACCAGGTCCCTGCATGTGCTCCTGATGGACACTGAAGTCCCCATCAGGGAAATCATGGTGTATCTACACAGCGGAATGTCATTCGGCTATGAAACTAACGAGATCCTGTCATTTGTGGCAACATGGATGTGTTAATGAGCATCAGGGAAGGAGAACGAGCCAGGCTCTGAAACAAAGTCTGCATTTTCTCACCCATTAGTGGACATCTGAGATGTTGGTCTCAAAGAAGCTGAGAGAAGACTAGTGGTTACCAGAGGCTAGGAGGAGTGTGGCAGAGTGGGAAAAAGGGGAGGTTGGATAACAGGCAGGAAAGAAGAGGAAAAGTTTTTGCATTCTACAGTACAGTAGGGCGGCTTTCATTCATGAGAATATATTGTGTATTTTATAAAGAACTAGAAGAGAGGAGTAAAAGATTTCCATCACAAAGACATGGTGAGCATTGCCTGACTTGATCAGTTTATGTGACATACATGTGCAGAATATCACCCTGAACCCCATAATGTATACCATTAGTATATGTCAAAGAATTTCATGCAGAGAGAAAAACCGACTCTCAGTTTAATCAAGCAGAATCAATCTATATAAATTTTCACAAGATAATGCTAGTCTAGATGCACAGATCACAGGATTTATTTGTCATCCCTTTTCATTATTTGACCCCAGTGCTTCTTCATGACCTTCGTCACTTCCTCATTTCTGAGGGTGTAGATTAAAGGGTTCAGCATGGGTGTTATTAGGGTGCAAAGCACAGTCACAGCCTTGTCGGTGGGGAAGGAGGTCACGGGTCTTAGGTAGAGGTACGAACAAGGCACGAAGAATAAGACGACAACCGTGATATGGGAGGCGCAGGTGGACAGGGCTTTGTGGCGCCCCGCAGAGCTGTAGGTCCTCAGGGAGCGCAGGATGACCAGGTAGGAAGCAGCCAGCACAGCAAAGGTGAGCACACACAGCGAGCTGCTGTTGGCAGCAATGAGGGGCCCCAGAGTGTGGGTGTCGGTGCAAGCCAGCTCCAGGAGCGGGATCAGGTCGCACATGAAGTGGTCGATGACATTGGGGCCGCAGAACGGTAGCCGGGCTATAAAGAGCAGCTGAATCCCCCCATGAACAAAGCCTAAGAGCACGGCGGCCCCCACCAGGAAGGCACACACGGGTCGGCTCATGATGGTCACGTAGTGCAGGGGCTTGCAGATGGCCACGTAGCGGTCGTAGGCCATGGCGATGAGCACGATGATCTCAGCTGCGACGAAGAAGTGCACGGCGAAGATCTGAGCCATGCAGCCACTGAAGGAGATGGTGCTATTCTCAGAGACCAAGTCGAAGACCATTTTGGGGGCTATGGAGGAAGAGTAGAAACCATCTACGATGGACAAATAGGCCAGGAAAAAGTACATGGGAGAAGCGAGGGCCGGGCTGACGAAGACGGTGACGGAGATGAGCGTGTTCCCTGCCAGGGTGAGCACGTAGATCAGGAAACACACGGTGAACAAGAGCTTCTGCAGCTGTGGATTTTGGGTGAGGCCCAGGAGGATGAATTCTGTCACATTACTCATCCTTCCCAGCCGCCAGCGTGGGCTGCGGGCAATTCGCACATCTGAAAAAGATTGCAATATTCTTGAATCATTATAAATACAGTACTGAAACGCCTCATCCCCTTATTACAGCTGTTCTCTGAAGTTGACAAAGTTGCACCTTTACTCAACTCTGCTCTTTTAAAAGACAATTGTAGGGGGTTAGAATTCTCTAATTATTTTAATGGAATAATGATAGTTCCTTATAAGTATCACAATAAATGGTTGATGTCCGAACTTTCTAGCTCCAAAGAAAAAAATCTCAAAGGTGCTTTGTTTTGTATTGTAATTACTGACAATATTATTTTGCTAAGTAAAATTTTCCTTTCAGTTGAAATTTTTTTATATGCAGAATTATGCTCTCAATTAGATTAATTTTCCCCTTTACAATATACAAATGGAATTAAATGGTACATGGAATTACTCCGAATTTCCTAAGGTGATGATAGAGATGTGAATCAGCTAAGATAATGAATCTTTCCTTTTTGGAATAAATTTGGTGATCTAAAATGATTTGTAGTTTTCATTGTTTGTACTTCTTTGAGAAATGTCTGTTCATTTCAGATGCCCCTTTTTGAATTGGGTCTTTATATTTCGGGGGGCTGATTGTTTTGAGCTCTTTATGTATTCTAGATAACAGTTGCTTGAGTAGTTTTCATTGTTAACAGGTAAAACTATTGAATGTATTAAAATTTATCTTTCTGAATTTTTTTGTTTGGTCTTTTGAGACAGGGTCTCACTACATAGTTGAGGCTGACCTGGAACTCACTATGTAGCCCAGGCTGGTCTCAAACTCACAGCGATCCTCCTGCCTCAGTCTCCTGAGTGCTGGGATTACAGGTGTGTACACCATGCCCAGATAAAAAATTTATCTTAAATAACCTATACTTAGAGTGTTGAGAGTGAATCTATGATGCTTTTAAAAAGAACATGAGATGTTTTATCCATTTTCCCCTTTCTTTGCCAAATCTCTACGAAAAAATTTCAAATTTTTTTCAAAAAGAAAATTTCTGTGCATAGACATCAGTATGATGATTTCTCAGTTTCAGTAGGAGTAAGAAAAAACATCTTTGGTTTTCAGGAAAACTTAGTCTCTGAGGTTTTTCACTCGATTCATGGCATCCACAGATGGTGGCTGCAAGGTTAATTACTATTAATGGATTTGATTCACAAAGCATGACTCCTAGATGGTAGCATGGAAGCCACGATAAAGGGGAAATTCAACTCATTACAGACAGAAGAGTCCAGATTCAACATACTTAGTGAGACATAAATATTAACCCCAATGTTTTATAAATGACTTGTCATTTTTAACAGCATTTAGCTTGTCAAATTACAGATAGTGTTTTCTATCGATATTTTTGCTATTTTGTTTAAGCTAATTTCCACAGCAAACCACTACATGCCAGGTCAATTCAGCAATGATAAAAACTACTTCAGTGAAAAAGCATTAGCTATATCAAATTAATCTTCCTAATTTTAGAAAAGCCATTCGATTTTCACTGACCTGGTTCTGGCTGACTGTGTAGCCTGAGTGTGGTCACCGCTTTCCTCCTGTACCTGCACATGGAACAGAGCTTTCAATGGACTTGGTAATCTGATACGAGGACACGGAAATCGTCTCTCTAGGCAAATTCTGTAATTAGCACACTTTAGCTTATTTGGTTTTCATGGACAGCCTGGACTTAAAAAACTTAAAAACTCAGAAAATGAGCTGTTTCAATTAGGAAACTTTGACATCTTGAGGTTTTATTTTCTACTGATTTTCTTGCTCTCCTATAAAAGTATAAATGAATCTTAAAATGTTTTTTAGAAATTGCTGAGCTACAGTCAATCCAAAATTAAAAATAATGAGAAGAAAGCTATTATCCAAATCAAGGAAGATGGTATATCCCACTCCATAAAACAGAAGTGAATAAAACTCACTTGGTTGGACATTGTTTTTTTCCTCCAAAATTTTATTTCCTAAGAACTCACAAACAAGGAAGAGAGAGAGAGAGAATTCTTCACACTCCTAACCCAGTTTCCCCTTTCAACTCTATTTCCCTGGAAAAACCACTAAGCACAGACAGCAGCGGTGTCCCCACAGCTTGGGGTTGTTGGCCCACAGCTCTGCCGCTGTCCTTTGTCCCTGACTCTTCTTCGCGAGGCTTTCTTCACTGACTGGAGACAGAGTTTACATAGACTTCCACGGACTGCGGGCTTGGCGTCGTGCTGACCTCTCAGGTTCCCAGAGGACCAGTAATTGGCTCTGTGGAAATCTGTGCCAAGGAAACAGCCTTGGTAGCTGCAGAAATCATCAGTGGTTAGTTTGGGAAATGCCGTCGAAGTGGAGTCGCAGATACATGTAGACTGCAGTGTAGGACAAGAATTGAGTAGTATAATTTGGGAGACTTTTTTATTTGGCTTCTTTGCTAAACATGACATTGCTGAACCTGACCTAGAATATGGGGCGGTTTTAGGGTTAGATCAGAGTTAAGAGAATAAACTTTTTGAAAACATGGCTGAGGCACAGGATGGTTTCTCCAAAGAATGGAAATGTCAGTCTTAAAGGTTATGTGCCTGATCACTCTGGGGATGGTGACATTTTCATTAGTAACTGACTGAGGGATTTAGATGGCAGGATTCCCAGGGACCCCAGACTGGAAATTTAAAAGTCCTAGGTATAATCAGTCATTACTTAGATGCCACATTCTCAAGGTTTATTCAGAAGTGCATATCTTCCTCTGTTCCACTGGAGATAATGGAGATATTTGAGGTGATGAAGAACTGCCTGTAACCTCATAGGGAATCAGCTTTTGTAATTTTCAAGCTTTACTTGGAACCAAATAGATACACTCTTGATTCCAGGGCCAAAGAGGCAAAGCAAAGCTTTCAGCTGTATTCTCTATACTCATCAGTTTTTCACCAACCCACTCACAGTGTTGTTATTTGAAAACAATTATGGTTCTGCGTATACCATATAAATGCTATTTTAACACTGAACTATATAAATTTGATGATTCTAGCTACCTCCTAGATGGGATAATATAGATATTTTTTCTTTTCTTGTAATTTAATTCTTTTTTGAGATTGAGTCAGTAGTTAAATTCTCCTCTGAAGGCAATGCCTGGGCCCAGATGGTGTCCTAGCTCAATCCTTACAGACATTGACCAAATAAGAACAAATCTCAAACTTCCAAAAAACGGAAAGTGACTGTGTATGAGTCCAGTATTATACCCAAACTGGAAAAGAGTATTAGAATTAAAAAAAGAAGAAAAAATTTTAGGGCAACGTTCCTGGTGATCATCGATACCAAAATCTTCAGAATACTGACAAACCCAGACCAACAGATGTGTCATTCCTCTGTAAATTGTTAATCTCAGGCATTTGCTCATGAAGATGCAGAGTAGATGATGCAGTTTCCATGATACAGATTCAGTAGTGGGTAGGTGGGCACCATTCACTTCACAGCAGATGACGATTAAAGGCTCACAATGAAAACATGTGGATCTATTTTCTCCAGAGAAGAGAAGATGGACTTCTTATTTTCAAGTTCTGTCTGTAAAATTCAAGTGGCTAAAGAAGTGACATAGTACATGTTGATGACTCAATTTGTAGGTATTTGGTGTAGGAATTTACAAGTCAGGTCATTTTTAAATAACCTGTGAGAAATACTAACAAAGTACCATATGGGCATAGACTGTTGAATACGGGAGCTCTTTGTGGCACAAATTGATTTTCTATGGCAACACTCTGCCTGCTATGATGGGAAGTAGGGGGCTGACGCCTGCTAGATATCTTAGAACCTAATTTTCTCCTTAAGTGTGCACACGTGGAATCATAACACATGAGTTTAAGGAAAGCAGAGATGCAACTGACAGTCTTGAGAGACATCTGCTTAGGTCTGATTCACTGACTGCTGTTGGCAGTTTCCCTTGGGGAGGAAGGACATCTGTGGGCTTACAGTAATCTAGATGAGCTATATTTTAGATAGAGCACATCTGATTGGTAATCTTTAAGGCATGAATATTTTGAGGCTAAACCTTTTCCCCAAATTAGCAGACTCATGAGTGGCAACAAAATATCTGGCCATTTAATCAGCTCTGAGATCAACTTGTATCCTGTGCTGCAGTTTGTGATCATGGTGTGGCACAAAGGATGAAAGATTACTTGGAGTCCAGGTCCTGTTCACACTCTAAGAAGGTCCAGAGGGATGTCCTTAGCCAAGGACCCTCAGTATGAGAGAGCCTCATAACGACAGCCCTGAACTGAAGCTTCTGTGGTTTTTCTATTACTAGAACCAGAAAGGATGGGGGAAGGTCAGGGAGGTCAATAACACAATTGGACCTATGGCCTATCTAAGTGATAGATGGGGATATGGGGAGGAGGGAGCCCCAGGATTCATTCCTTAAGGCAGTGTGTGTGTGTGTGTGTGTGTGTATTTAACCAGGGATCCAACTTGAGACCTTGTGCTTTTGAGGCAGGCAGAAGACAATGTGCTTTGATGTTTTGATCCTACTGTGACTTGTGGCCCTGTGGGCTACCTTTTACTCTCTAATCATGTATACAGGGAGCTTTTGGGTATGGCTCCAAAACTTCCTTACCTCTTTATATCCATCTCATGCATACCTCTGGCCAATGCCTCCACAATTCTGTAGGAATTTTATCTGTTACTTTCGTATACTTAATGAATAAAAAAGTTCATGGATACTTACTATAATGAAAAAGACTTTTTCAACCTAACAGAGACACTGGAAGGATCTCTGATGCAGGAGATTGACTGTGGCTGCAATTTGGCCAGAAAGTACAAAACCATGTGTGAATGGATAAGTTAAGAACTTGCTGTGAGAGTATAACATCCATTATAACTTCAAGGGAATGATAATTTTATGCAGGAAATACATTGATTATTTTAGTCACTGTAGAATGTGATTCTTTTAAGGTCTATGGGCCCAGAAGGCTAGAGTGCCAGGCTAGGCATATGGTAGTGTTTACAGAAACAA